TAGTAGTAGTAGTAGTAGTAGCCATAATAGTAGTAGTAGTGGTAGTAGTAATAGTAGTAGTAGTAGTAATAGTAGTAGTAGTAGCAGTAGTAGCTGTAATAGTAGTACTCGTAGTACTAAAAGTAGTAGTAGTAGGAGTAGTACTACTACTACTACTATTACTATTATTGGTACCACTACTATTACTAGCAGTATTATTATTATTATTATTTTAGTCTTATTATTATTACAACTACTATTATTACTAGGAGTTTTAGTGTTGTTATTATTTATATTATTATTACTATTTTCATATTGATTACGATTATTATTATGGCAGTATTATTTCTACTACTATTCTTAGTATTCATTCTAGTATTTTATGTTTTTGTAGTTTATATTAGTATTGTTATTTTAGTATTATTAGTATTTCTATTAGTTCTATTCGTATATTACTGTTATTCGGAAAAAAATAAATAAATATGGATATGCCAAATAAATACTGAATTGACAGAGTATTCAAATTGTTTTAAAATTGAAGTTTAGAAAAAGAATCGAATAATATCATTTTCTGTTGGGCATTTATTAAACATTTGAACATTTTGAAACATGATCGCTGAGTGGATGGGTTCTAATTTTTTTCCGGTTAAATCGAATTTCTGAGTTCACGTCATTTAGAAATTCAATTTCAGGAACAAATGCATAATACGGCTTAGAAATTTTGTTACGGAAACCGACCGGGCAACGCATTTGAATTGTTTTTTTTTTTTTTTTTTCTGGCAATCCGGCAAAGCGGCTCGAACATTTGCACGCGTAAGTCGTAAAGAAATTCGATTTGTTTTTGAAACGGTCAGAGCAGACAGCTTGAAGTTTATGTTATCCCTCAAGGTTGGTGGTAAAGAAAGTTTGATAAAAAAAAAGTGCGGTTCAAAAATCTGTATTTTTTTAGAAATCGGTTAAAAAAGCAATTAGATAAACATGTTCGAATCACGAAAAAAATGAATTTAAACAGAAACTGATCGATTTTTTTTTTTATGAACATAAATAATCAGGACGATTTGGTTCGCGAAAAAAATGAACACAAACAAATAAAAAAATGCATTGTTTGAAAACGCGTGAAGTTTATTAAAAAATACCAGAAGAAATGCGTGAACAAAAATGTTTTGGGGCCATGAAGACACATCATTTACGATAACAATGAAATGACAAAAAGGTGAGCTGTTGCCAGAACAAGTTTTACGCTAAAATA